AAAAAAAAAAAAAAAAAAAAAGAAAATAGAGAAAGGTAAGGGAGCAGTCGGAGGGGTGCGGGTGGGCAGTGGTTGGGCGACCTACAGGATAGGCTGGTTTCATTGAGAAGATGAGAATTGAGCTGGGACTTGAAGGAGGTGAGGGGATTTGCCAAGCAGATGCTGGGGAACTAGGCAGAGGGAACAGTGTAAAAACCCTGGGGCAGAGTGTGTCTGGCATGTTTTAGTTTTAGAGGAAGAGCACAGAGGCCAGAGAGATTGCAGTGGAGTGAGCAAGGTGACAGTCATAGGAGATGAGGGAGTTTCTGAAGGAAATGGGTCCATATCACTTAGGGCCTTGTAGGCCAGTTTGAGGACTTTGGTTTTTGTTCTGCTTGAAGTGGGGATCCATTGCAAGTTTTTGCGCAGAGAAGTGACCGGATGGCTTTGTTTTTAAAGGATCAGTGGGTTGCTGAGTTGGAAACAGACTGTAGCGGGGGGGTCCTGGGAGAAGCAGAGTAACCTGTTAGGAGGCTCTCGCAGAATCCAAATGAGAGATGATGGTGACTCAAACAGCTGTGGAAAAGATGGGGTGCGGATGGATGCTGGCTGTGGCACCTTCACATGCCTCCAAAATTGATCTAATCCAGTTCCGACAGTGGTTCCTATTCTATTTTTAATGGCCTCCTGTCATTGCTTATTAAATTGAGATCTGTACGTCCTACTTGACTTTTCTGAATTATTCTCCCAGGTCTTAAGTCCGTGTGAAAATGACAGTTCTTTACTTCAGAGGCCAGTGGGCACAGTACCAGGTACTGTACACAAATTGTAGGGGAAGCAGTCTTTGATTTGTTTAATCAGGAAGACAGTGTTGGCAAAGATAAGCAGAGACAAAGAGCCAACAGGCTCAAAAGGAAAAACAAGAGAATTATGTGGCATTTTTTTCAGCATAGTGCCAATCAGTTCTCTGAAGTGACAGCATATGTGTTTCTGGGTCAGATGAGATGAAGATAAATAAATCTCACTTTGGAAAAGTAACATATAAGTTCTCTGAGTTTTGGTTTCCTTATCTGCAGGATGGTTATAATAAAATAATTCTTGGTCTACCTATTTCACAGGAGTGATGTGAAGATCGGAAACAAAAATGAGAAAGCAGGTGTGAGAAACACTTTGCAAACTGAGTGATATTATGATTGAAAGAGGAGGCAAAACCTAGAGATCCTGTCTCTGCATAGAAGAACTGTGCCCTCTAGCCACAGGGATAATGGGATTTCAATGTGGCATGTCTTCCCACCTCCTGGGAGCCATTTCAAAGTCTACTTAATAGGCTTTTCATCTGTCAGTGTAGTTCCAGTTCTGCCCAGCTTCTAAATTAATGTCCATCCCTGTTGGCAGCTCATCTCTTAGGTCTCATCTGCTAGGTAACTGAGTATTAAGGTGGAGCAAGTTTGTAAATACAAGCAGTCTATTCCCAGTGCTGATGGAATTGCAATATTAGCTTTTCTTTGGCTAAGAATATTTGAGCAAGAATTCCCCCACTTTAAGGAGGTCTACAAAAAATGCAAAGTTATGAAATGGATAATTTAGGAGATGATGCTTTATTATAAAATAATTCATTTTAAATAGGGAACATTAGGTACATTATATTTAAGTGGAAATCTCCTTTAGAGATTATTCTGTAATAATACTAGCAGGTTGAAAGGGCTATTTGAGAGGCCTTACATATTGATGTTGGGCTTACATATCTAGAAATTAGATCATCTTGTCAAATCTCTCATTTGTAGCTATGGAAACTGAGCATTGGAGAAATAAACACTTGTTTGATGTTATTTCTCTTGTATGCCACAGTATCTCATGGGGTAAACAGACCATAGGAATCAGTTCATACTAATCAAATTCCAAAGAGCCTAATCCATGCACTAAAATGACATTTTAAAAATTTACATAGATTTGCCTAAAGAGAGAGAGGCTAATCCATTTCCTTGAGGCTTTAGCTGCTATTAAGCTCTACCTGCCTCCAAGGACGTCAGCCAGAAGGCAGCGCCTACCTCCATCTCATTTTCCAATCTCACCTTTGCCTGTCACAAGGGATCCAATCTGAACCTTGGACGTGAGGGTTAGGTGACAGCTCGGGGTTGCGGGGGCAGTACTGTCTGCGGGGAACAGCATGACTCTCAGGTGCTTCAGAGTGTGCTTGACCTTTCGCCTTTTTTCCAAATATACAAGGTTGACTTTCACTTTGCTCCTAGAACCAAGACACTGCAAGCCACAGTCTGATTTAGGATGAATGTGGGCCAGTTGGCTTCTGTCTGAGCTTCTGGAAGGAGAAAAGCCAGAGAGGAAAATGAAGCCAGTTCTTAATCTGAATGGTGCCCAGCCAGCCCACTTCCGTTCATGGCCCACTGCTGTACTTTCTTCTCTTTTTCCTTCAGTTCTTCCTCAGCATGTATCTATGGTACTAAATATACAAGCCCTGCCTTTCCCCCTTCCTGCCACGCGTCCCATGAAGATTGGTGACTGCAGTAAATGCAGCCCAGAGAGATGCTCCTAGGTTGTTTTTTCTAACGCAGAGCCGCTTGAGTGCCGCCTCCTTCTCTTTCCTCACCCCGTCTCTTTGATTTATGCAGCCACGGCTTAGGTAACAACAGTTAATTAATTAATTTATTTATATTGTATAAGTGAACATTTTATTTTTTAATTTAGTTTTTGTTACATGTATTCTTTTTCAAATTATTTTCCCAATTAGATTGTTACAGAATACTGAGCAGAGTTCCCTGTGCTATACAGTAGGTCCTTTTGGTTATCCATTCTTTTTTGTTTTTTGAAGAACTTTTTGTTTCAATTAATCAATTTATTTATTTTATTTACTTTTGGCTGCATTGGGTCTTTGCTGCTGCATGCGGGCTTTCTCTAGTTGCATTGAGTGGGGGCTACTGTTCGTTGCTGTGTGAGGGCTTCTCATTGTCGTGGCTTTGGCTTCTCTTGTTGTGGAGCGTGGGCTCTTCAGTAGTTGAAGCACGTGGGCTCAGTAGTTGTGGCTCGCGGGCTCTAGAATGCAGGCTCAGTAGTTGTGGCGCATGGGCTGAGTTGCTCTGTGGCATGTGGGATCTTCCTGGACCAGGGCTTGAACCCATGTCCCCTGCATTGGCAGGCGGATTCTTAACCACTGTGCCACCAGGGCAGCCTGGTTATCCATTTTAAATCTAGCAATGTGTACATGTCAGCCCCAAACTCCCTAACTATCCCTCCCCCCACCACACACACACCCTTCTCCCCTGGTAACCGTAAGTTTGTTTTCTAAGTCTGTGAGTCAATAGCAGTTCATTTAAAAATGGGTTTCCAGGGACTTCCCTGGTGGCGTAGCGGATAAGACTCCGTGCTCTAAATGCAGGGGGCCCGGGTTTGATCCCTGGTCAGGGAACTAGATCCCACATGCATGACACAACTAAGAGTTCACATGGCACAACCAAGGAACCTGCAAGCCACAACTAAGGAGACCGCCTGCCACAACTAAGACCTGGCGCAACCAAATAAATAAATATTTTTTTTAAAAAACACAAGATAAAAATGGGTTTCCAGAAAGCCTCTCAGGGGTATACATAGCTTTTAAACAGGATATTTGAGATCTGGGCTCAGATTGGGGGAGACAAGCATCCTTTAAAGGTAAAAATGTTCAGGAATGGCAAAACGATTTTTCAAGGGCCCATTCCCTACCTTGCATTAGCATAGCCCTTTGAGAGGAAGAGACCAGACAGCAGTTCCACTTGGCAGCCGCTGTCTCTGAGTTCTGGGGGAAAAAAAGGTCAGGGTTGATTGGGTACTTCTTCTTGAGGATTCTGAGCACCAGAGAGGGAGATACAGAAGAATGCAGTTCCTTCTCATAAAACTTGCACTTGGGGAGATCAGACATTCCCTCAAAAGGACTTTAAGGTTTATGTAAGTGGGAGTTAGCCTAGTACAAAGAAAACTGGGTACCAGTCTATTATCTTAGGGAAAAAGAAGGTAAAAGAGTTAACTAAGTTAATGAAAGACTAACCAACCCATTCCTTCAAACACTGCCTATTATCTCTTCTCCTTCCTGTTTTATCTACCTTCTTGTATTAAAACTTCTGAAAGTTTAATAAGTGTATCGTTGGACAAGATATCTCTCCAGGTTCCCATAGAATGATAGGTTAAATGATAGGTTATAGTTATTTATGCTTTTTGGCACATAACTCACAGGGTGTTGTGAGTTTTCTTTATTTGTTAAATTTGTTACTGCTGTACCTTATGCTGTTTGGCCTTAACTTTGGTTTTTAGAGATGAACTGTTTAGGACACTTTGAAAAATCATGTCTTTTTTTTTTTTTTTTTGTGGTACGCGGGCCTCTCACTGTTGTGGCCTCTCCCGTTGCGGAGCACAGGGTCCGGACGCGCAGGCTCAGCGGCCATGGCTCACGGGCCCAGCTGCTCTGCGGCCTGTGGGATCCTCCCGGACCGGGGCACGAACCCATGTCCCCTCCATCGGCAGGTGGACTCTCAACCACTGCGCCACCAGGGAAGCCCAATCATGTCTTAAATAAACAGTTATCAAAGAGCAGCAAGCGGTGCCATTCCACCCTCACACCAGTCTTTCTCAGCTCTTCCCACCCACAAGCATCCCCATCTATTTGGATGTAATGCCTTTAAAAAGGAAGACAACATCTTATGAGGGGTTATGAATTTAGGAGTCTTAGGTGATGACAATACTGAAACTCTGACAGTACTTTGCAGGAAAGAAAGCCATCTAACAGTGAAAGGAATTTTAATGTTAGTTACATGAACAAAATGGAAGAATGCATCACACTCTCTGAAGACTTCTTACCATGAAATAGCTATCTCTCTGAGTTGAATAACATGGAGAAAGCATCATCTGCTAAGTATTGGCTGTATCTCTATCTGGCGGAATAGACCCCTAAACACTTTCTAGGCTTCTCTTTGGATTTCCCAGAATACTAGGCTAGAGAAGTACTTACCTTTCTTGTTAGCATCATAGGATGTAATGATTAGGCTGAAAACCAAGATGGTATCCATGTTAGCTTGGGCACATTCTCCTTGTAGAGACAGTACGCTGCTGGTCTGTCACAGCCACTTATAGCTTCGTCTCTAAATTCTTTCACTGCCTGGAACCAAGTTTGATCCTGGGAGAGTCTGGTTCCACCCTAATTATTTTGCCACATTTCCTGACAGGAGACAGGACCAAGTTTGTTTGTTAATGATTGATTCAGAAGATCTTCACCTGACTTCACCACTGGTGCCGACGTAAGGAGCTGTAATTACCTAGAGCTTTCCCCGGGAGAAAGGGCATAAACACCCAGTGATATGCTTTACAAATACTCGCAGAGAGACACATAGACATTCGCATACATGCTCACTGACACAGGCACGGCTATTCACACACCGACATAAGGAGATGGAGGGATTTCTATTAAGGAAAGTGATTTCTAGAATAGAGCAGGAAACTAGGACTGAGTGAGTCAGTGAGTTACACTGGCGAGGGCACTGGACTAGGAATCAACAGAACTGGGTTCCAGTTCAGCCCGTGTGGTTAAGTGTGGCATAGTGAGAAAAATTTCTTGACCTCTATGGATCGCAGTTTTCCCCTCTGTAAATGGAGCGTTCCAACCCAGTGATCTCTAGAATCCCTTCACAGTTATAAACATAAACTTACCTTAATACAGGCATACCTGTCTAGTTTTGCCCATTTTCACACTCCCGAATAGTGAAGTGAGTGTAGGTGGACCACATTCCTATGACTGCTGGGCTGAGAGGTTGTGAGGAAGAGCTAAGTATACTAGGTGAGTGGTACTGCCTGCAGTTTGGAAAGGCTTTCCTACACAGATAACTGTTGGAGAAGATTTTTCTAAAATTGTAGACTTTGTGATAGCATAGCTAGGGGGATCATAGCAATAATGAAGATCTACTAAGACCCTCTGAAGTCTCTTTACCCACTGTGAATGTACTTACTCCATTGGAGCCATTATAGGTTTGATTATGGGTAAGAAGGTTCTAGAGGCTGACGCTCTGATAATGATGTAAAGGGAGCTTGATTCAAGGCACTTTCCATAGGGGATTTCATGAGGTCTGAGTCAAAGCATAATTTAAATACTACCCTGTTTCCTGACATTTTAATTCAGGTTGAAATCTGGCTAAATTGAGCATGAAGGGAAATCTTGGGAAAACAGAAAGGACAGAGGTGTCACTGAAGGACATGTTTCCTGAAATGTGGATGGAGGGGAGGAACTGCTGAACATGCAGCCACAGTGCCTTTCATTCCTTCCTGCTGCAAGTTTTTTTGTTTTTTTTTTTTTGCAGTACGCGGGCCTCTCACTGTTGTGGCCTCTCCCGTTGCAGAGCACAGGCTCCGGACGCGCAGGCCCAGCGGCCATGGCTCACGGGCCCAGTTGCTCTGTGGCATGTGGGATCTTCCCAGACCGGGGCATAAACCCATGTCCCCTGCATCGGCAGGCGGACTCTCAACTACTGCACCACCAGGGAAGCCCCTTCTGCAAGTCTTTATTATGCACCTACTGTGTGCCAGACACTATTCTAGCAGTGAGCAAGGCCAAGTGTGAGTTCATGTGAAACAATGGGAAGCAGACAATAAACATGGTTGAAAATAAAATAGTACAGAGGGCTAACAATGAATAATATACAAATACACATACAAGATAATTAAAGATTGTGACAATCATCATGAAGCAACAAACAGGTGATGAGGTGAAGGAGGAATGACAGAGGCCACTTTATTTATTATTATTATTATTTTGGCAGTTTGTAGGATCTTAGTTCCCCAACCAGGGATTGAACCCGAGCCCTCGGCACTGAAAGCGCGGACTAACCACTGAACTACCAGGGAATTCCCAGAGGCCACTTTAAGTAGGGTGGTCAGGGAAGACTTCTCTCAGGAGGTGGCATCTGAGCTAAGAAAACCAGGAGAGTGGACGTTCTAGAAGCCAAGAAAGGAGGGTGTTTCAAGGAGGGAATGGATTTGTCCACTGGACAAACTATCCACTGGATTTGCCACTTCTGTAAGAGCAGTTCCAGCGGCATGGTGGAAGTACGAGGCGGCTGAGAGGGAATTGGAGGTGAAGTGTAAATCATCTTGAAAGACATTTGGCTATGGAACGGAGGACAGAAGTGAAGCCAGCTGAGTGGAGGTAACATCAGTGCCTCAAACCTTGATTGGTCCAGACCAGCACTGTCTCAGTTGCCTGATTGTCCTAGCAGGGCTGGTGGGCAGAGAATAAAGGGGCTCCACTGCCTTTCCTGGGCTTCATGGTTTTTGCTTACTATTTCCTTAACATAATTGCATTATTCTCTGCTCCCTTGTGGTGTCAGACACGTTCCCCTGCTGTCACTGTCTGAAATTTTCTGTAGATTAGTTCCTGGATGCCCTGTTACAGTGCTGCCTCCTCTCTGTCACAAGGTGGCAGAAGAGCTCACTCTTCCCAAAAGAGACCTTGTGCTCGTACAAAATGAAGCAGAAGTTTTCTTTTACTCACTCTCAGACCCTTCCCAAAAGTCGGCCTGCAGGTTGGAGCAGCCATACTGTGGGGTACAGAGAAGTGGGAGAGCTTCATTAACGAGTCAAAATATCCAGTAGTAGAAAAAACAGACCCAGAACTGTTTCTCTACTACTAGACATTTTTTTCTTTCCCATTACAGACATTTAAAAATAGTGAACTATTGGGGCTTCCCTCATGGCGTAGTGGTTAAGAATCCGTCTGCCAATGCAGGGGACTCAGGTTCGAGTCCTGGCTGCAGAGCAACTAAGCCCATGCGCCACAACTACTCTAGACCCTGTGAGCCACAGCTACTGAGCCCACGTGCCACGACTATTGAAGCCCGCGTTCCTAGAGCCCGTGCTCCACAACAAGAGAAGCCACGGCAACGAGAAGCCTGCCCACCGCAACGAAGCGTAGCCCCCGCTCGCCATAACTAGAGAAAGCCCACATGCAGCAACGAAGACTCAATGTAGCCCCAAAATAAATAAATTTATAAAAATAGTGAACTATCTACATATGTATCACTAAAAATACTTAAAAAATTTTTTACCTGCTCTTGCACTTATATAAATGGATAGATCATATCCTATGTTTTGTAAGTAAACTTTTTATTATGTATAACGCAAAGTGAATACACCTCTCTATGTTGTCTCCCAGTCACTACCCACCATCAGGAGTAACCATTATCCAGATTTTTTACCACCACGGATGAGTTTTGCCTATTTTTGAACTATGTATAACAGGAAACACACTCTTTTGTGTCTGACTTTCTTTGCTCAACATTATGTCTGTAAAACTCATCCATATTGTTTCGTGTACCAATAATGTGTTCATTCTCATTGCTTTATAATATTTCACTGTATGAATGTACCATAACTTATTTATCTGTTCTACTGCTGAGAGACATTGGGTTGCTTCCAGTTTGGGGCCATAAGGAACAGTGTTCCTGGGCACATTTGAAAGTTTCTCCACAGTATAAATCCAGAAATGGACACTGGGTTATAACATATGCAGGGCTCAGCCTCACTAATTAATGCCAACCTGTTTTCTAAGATGTTGTCCCCATTTACTCTCCCATCTGCAGTGTATGAAATTTCCTGTTGTCCCAAAGGGGCCAAATTGCCTTTTCAGTGTGGTACAACTGTGGGACCTAGCAGGGCCAGGCATACCCTCACAGTGCCAACCCTTTGATGCTTCAGCCACAGCCAGTTCTCCTGTTTCCTTGCTCCCTACAAGTAAGGGTAAAGGATTCAGATTAACCCTAGGTCCCTGATCACATGCTCTATTACCCTGGGAATATTGGCCTGGGGTAGTGAATTTAATAACATAATCATTCCTGAATTCATTGAGCGTCCATAGGATATTTTGTTCTTATACTGAACACTAGTGGAAATGGAGAGGGGCCCAGAGAGAAGGGGGAAAGTAAGATTTTCAGCATGCCTACTATGTTCCAAGTTTTGTATTAGAAACTTTACATTTTGGTTAACATTTAATCCAAAACACAACCTTACAAGGTATGTGTTCTACCTCAGTTTTATAGACAAGGAAACTGAGGCTCAGAAAGGAGGTCATTTGCTCAAAGTCATGGAGCTAATTAGTGACAGAGTCAGGATTTAAAGCCTGGTTTACTTGATTAAAGAACTCAGCTCTTTACAGTGCAGAACACAGAGAAGGCTGTGTCCCTGCTGCTCTGTTGGCTAAGATTGCCAATACCAAGAACCAGTTCTTCTCAGGTCTGCTTGCCTGTATTCACTCCCAGAACTGTGCTAGTCAATTGATACGGCCATCTCATTCATTGATTTAAACTACATTTTATTTTCATTCATTTTGGTTTCCTTTAACCTCTTTCTTCCTTTCCGGTTTTTTTTTTTTTTTTTTGGGCTACGCGGGCCTCTCACTGTTGTGGCCTCTACCATTGCGGAGCACAGGCTCCGGACGCGCAGGCTCAG